CCCTATCCTGCATCAACAGATCGGCCCCACATTACAGATTCTCCCTCCCTCACTCACTTCCTTCCTTTCTTCTCGGTCCCGACAGGCGATTAAGGGAACCAACTTCCTCCGCCCCCTTCTTGCCGCCTCCTCCTCCCACGTAGCCCGATCAAAGCTGCGGGGACCCGTCCCGGACCCGCCTCCTCCTCACCGTCTTGGACCTGTCCAATTCTACTGACGTCCCTTGCTGCGGCTGCCTCCTGCTCACCGTCCCCCGCTGCCTCCAGCTCACGTCCCTTGCTGCCACCTGTTCATCGTCCCCCGCTGCCTCCGGCTCACCATCCGCTCGCTGCATCCTCCTGGCCGACTCCTCCTGGTCTCCGATTGCCCTGTTACTTCATGAGGCTGCCGGGCTGCGGCATTTTCGCCGCTCCTCTGGGCAGTGCCGCCCAAGGCAAACGCCTTGTTTGCCAGCGGCAAATACGCCCCTGATTGTTGTTCTTTGTTCCTGTGATATCCTCTTAGTTCCCAGTGTGTTCCTGTGAATAATGCTTGAGACCTACCACTGCTTTCACCTGTGTGCTGTGAGTTTGTCTGTACTGCCTTCACCGCTATATTGTTCCTGCACTCCAGCCCTTGTGTGTCTGCTTTCCCTGTCTACCTGCTTTCTCCATATACAGTATATCTCCCTGCCATTCCCCAGTGTACTTGTACTTCTGTTCTACGCACCTCTCCTAGTGTATCCTGCGCTTAAGTGCACCTATGTTCCCCCTGTACTTCAGTACTCTACAGTTCCTTGTATTTGTGTTCTGAACCTTGTGTAACGCACGTGCCCTGTGTGCATTTGCCTTGTCCTGCACATTGTGTGTATTCTGTGTATCCAGTACCTCATTGTACCACACATTCGCTGCGTGTATCTGCTACTTTATACTCAATCTCTTTGCAACACACATCCCTTGTGTGTCCTTGAATCTTGTACACAGCATTTCTGCTCTCTTGTGTGTCTTGTATCTGTGCACAGTTTTCATGTGCCCCCGGGTAAACCCTTTGTGCTATGCACTTTCCCTGTCTGACACGTGTCCCTGTGCGCCTAACCTCTCCGGTGTATCTTGTGCTGTGTGTTTTGCTCCTCTGAGTTGTCAGTCTCTTATTTTGTTCCACTGTTACTATCCTTCATCTCTAAGTTTCAGACTTCTTTCCTACCTGTCTCTGAGTCCAGTACCCTAGTGCTGTTGCCATTGTAGCAGGTCAGTCGTGTCTGCATGGGTTTCTTAGAGGGCCGCAACGCGGGAGCTGCCCTGCCGCACAATCATCCTCATCAGCGGAGGCTCTGGAGAAGAAAGAGCAGGCTCTCCTTTAGACTCTTCACCCCTGGCACACTCACGTTTTCTGTACAGTCACTCTGTCCCTGGTCCCTTGTGTTTGTAGCACTGTATCCTCGCACTCCCCAAGACCTGTATTCCTGGCCTGTTCCCAGTTCCGGACTGCTCTGCAAAACCCGGAGCTCAGGATTCCCAGTGGCCCGGTTGCCAGATCGTTGCAATGCTCACTAAAGATGCAAATGAAAAAGTGTGTAAGAAAGAAGCTTTTGTCTTTGGCAGGTAACAAAGAGTTCTCTATATATTATACAGAATAAATGAAAAAAATGAAACAAATTATAAATACATTTGTAATTATTTTCATTCGATAAGTGCTTTAATCATCTGTATGGATTTAAAGTATCTACATCTTCTGGAACTCTTTCCTACATTTTTAGAAAATATGTTCTGTGAATTGCGACAAGTATGTCCATTGCTATTGATGCATGTGTTGTTCAACCATCAAATCTATTGCCAAATTTTAGTTTAGAAATGTGTAGAAAGGAAGATATAGAATGGGAGAAAATAAGTAAAATGTACTGCTTATTTTATATGGATAATTTTAGGCCTTTTATAATATATCATTTTGTAGGTAAAATGCGAACGATACTGGCCACTGGATTACACACCCTGCACGTACGGAGATATTACAGTTACTGTTACATCAGATACTATCTTGCCTGAGTGGACAACTAGAGATTTCTCAGTAAAACATGTAAGTTCTTCGCTATGTCAAAAAGCTTCTTTTTTTTCTGCCTTGTAGTAAGGATCATTTTATAACAAGCAGTTTAAAAGCTAGACTTAAGTTACATTAAGTAAAGCCTGATGAAATCGTGTTTCTATTTTACATATTATACTATGCTAGGGAAATTTACTATATTTAGGGGGTTATTCACTAAAGAGCCGAAGGATCCAGCCATAGCTTCGGCTGATCCATCGGCTGCCAGAGCCCTTCAGTTCAGTTCAGCCGCCTTAAGTTCAGCTGAAGGCGGCTGAGCGGCTCAACCAAGCTGAAGGCATATGCTTCGGCTTGACTGAGCCGAAGTGACAACCGAAGCGGGGAGAACGGCCTGCTGGAGCCAGCCGTAATCTCAAAATGTATTTGGTAAATTAGTTAGTCACTCAGTGTTTTAGCGCAGTGCTGTTTGTTTATTTTAGTATCATAAATGCGCATTATACCATGTGGGCAAAAAATTAAACAATTTTTCCTGCTGCAAAAGGGTTACTTTCCTTTTTTACTTGTGTTACTTTTGAAATGTTATATAAAACATACTGGATCTGTAAGAAACTTACTAATAAACAATTATTGGTTATTAATAAAAAATCAACTGTTCCAAGATTATAACAGGAACGTGCTATGCCTATTTTACACTGTATTTATATAGGAATACAAAACACTGCTGGCAATGCAAGCAGCAATAAATATTGCAAAGTTCAGTAACCCATACCAACCATTGAGATTTTACAATACAGAAGTTAGTTTACAGATGTTTCTATCTGTTTGCCATGGTGCACCTTGCAGATGAGCATTGCTTTTTGCACTGCTTAAATGGCTAAGCCTATATTTTATGTAGGTTTCAGGTCTTCTTCACAGGATTGTGTATAATGTGTAGCTCAGGTAGTTAATTTATAATTACCTTTTTGTGCCTTCAGGCAAAACAACCCGGAGTACTTTATATTCGTCATTTTCATTTCACGGCTTGGCCTGATCATGGGGTTCCAGATTCCACCTCATCTATCATCCAGTTTCGTAATCTTGTCAGAGAACACATGGACCAGCGAAAGAGCAACGGACCCACTGTTGTGCACTGCAGGTATAAATTGGTTTAAATGGTCGAAAACCATTTCATTTTCCGCAAACTTACATGACTTGATTTTAGTTTTGAACTAGCCTTTCTCCAAATAGTCTATATTTAACTGTATTGGTTACCCACTTAAGTGTCCCTCACTTGAATCCCAGAGCTTTTTTTCTGTTTTGTTGATGTCCCAGTTCTGCACATTATACTTTTTGCAATTGTCAGAATGTGACAATGACACTCACAGCCCTACACAGTGATTTTCCAGCTCATGGGACAACAATCTAGGTGCCAGTAGGCTGAGAGTGAGCGTGGGGTCAGTTACTGTAACTCTGCAGTTAAGTTTTACACACACAAACAATAGCTGATACCCTATGTTTTAACAGAAACAAGCACCTCTCATAATATCTGTTATAGTAATTATGGCCTATAAGAAATGTCTGCAACATCCACTGCCACGTCAGACAGGGATGAAACAGAGTGTAACATAGTAGACTTTCCTTAAAGAGGCAAGCTTACTTTAATTTCTGATTAGAGCATTAGCTTAACAATTATAACATATTGTTTTAATGAGACAAGAAAATAGTGCAAGAAAATATTGACAGAAATCACAATGCAACAAACAAGGTTTTGCTGGCCTTTGTTTCCAGCAGAGTCCAATCTGTGATCCAATCTGATGTATTAGGGTCATCGGCTCTCATAAATGACCCTTAGCAAACGAACATGATTTCAATGGATTGTTAAGAGCTGTCAGCTGCAAATTCCAGCAGCATTTTGTGGACCCTCTACATGGTGTCACTGAGCCAACTTTCCCTAATCACAAGAGCTGAGTGGTGGGGTGTAGGAGTGTTGAAGTGTTGAAGTGTTTAATTATACTCCAGTGAACCCTCCTTTAATGCCACTTCTCTAACGATATCAGTATGTCCAGATGACCAAATTGTACAGTCCACCAACCAGCATGGTATTTCGCAGAATGAAATCACAATTTGATAGACTTGTAACATGATATGAATTTTATGTAGGGCTTCCTCAGAAGGGGCAATATGTCCCATGAGCTTTCTGCACCTCTTGATATAGGGGTGTTTGGTACATAAGTGATCGGTATTTTCTCATACATTCAGGTATATATAATTGTTTGGGGGTCTGAAGCTGTTTTCTAGCCAAACATTCTGCTGTTTGTTCCGGGCAGCAAGTGGTTAATGGTTGCAGCATGTGTTAAAATATTGGCAGTGGTTTTGGCACACCACAGTTGAATTTGAAACAGAGTTTAACAGCAGTCTGAAATATGGGGCTAACGGGTGATAAAGGAAGACATGCCCTAGCATCAGTGTAAGGAAAATAAATGTCCCTGCATCATTGATGTACCGGTAAGGAAAGGTTCTACTTTGTTGACGACAGAGATCAACAGTGACACGCTGCTTCCTCTATAATGATAGCGATCAGCAGTGGATGGTGACAGTGAGCAACAAGCAAACAGTGGCATTACTGACAGTGATCAGCAGTGACAAATTATCTCCTCTGTACTGACAGTGATCAGCAGCAAGTAGTGACATACTATCTCCTCCATATTGATAGTTATCAAAATCAAGCAATACTAACAGTGGATGGTGACTGTAATTAGCAACAAGCAGTAAAACACTGCCTTCTCGGTACTGACAGTGGTCAGCAGTGAGCAGCACTGACAGTGATCATGACTGATGGATTCGTCAATTTTTGTCCCTCTGTTAAAAACCCCAATAAACACACGGACTGCGCGACTTGGATTTTAACGGCCACAGCAGCCCTTTTATTAACCAAACAGTTTTAACAATAACCAAAAGTAATAAACCAAATAAAATACACAAATAACACTGTAAACAATGGTTGACCTGAGAAGGGGTCTTTGGGTGCCCAACAGCCCCAAAAAGGCCTCTCATAACACTCCACCCATGTTCCCAGCCACACCACAACCAGCTCGAGGACACTTTCTCCTTCTGGGTTCCCAAGGGGCCAGGCCCCGCCCTTTACAAATCCGGACACCAACAGTGGGAAGCACCCATACCAGCTGAGGGCCCCCCATTTTTGTACTCAACTCCGATTTTGTAGACCCCCCCAAAGACCCCCTAACCCACCAAGCTGCCGCGAAAAAAGAAACCCGTAACCCCCATAACCACACAATTCATGGGTGGGAGGGTGGGACAACCTGCTTCCTTTGTCGCTTTCCAGAAAGAGGACGTCCCTCAGCCCTCGCAGTCCCTTCCCATGCGGCTCCTCCCAGACACCTGACTCCCACGTCCTATCAGGTAATAGCAGCTATTCCCAATTTATTTGTTAACCCTTCCTCCCCCCAGTCATGTAGCCCCTCCGCTTAGTCTCTCCGGGTCTGTCTCCAATTAAAAATACTGCCAATGATCATTAGTGGATTGGGATAGTGGGCAGCAGTGAGAGCATTACTGCCAGTGATCAGTGGTGGATGGTGACAATGATTTAGCAGTGAGCGATACTGCCAGTGATCAGTAATGGTGCCAGTGTCACACAACAAGTCGCTCCACAATTGTCACTGAGTCTTAGAGTAACACTTAGAACAGCCCCAACCCTGCCATCCTGCTCCAAGTCCCATCCGTCTAGCCAGTCCCTTTCACCAAGTCCACTTCTGGTCGCCCCAGGTTTAGGGCAGAACTATTGTGCACAGCACCTCTCCCTCCTCCTTCCTAGGCAGCTAGTGTGACTGGCAGGGTGCAGGTGAACTCTTTAGATGTATTGGGATGCCATTCAAAATGCATTCATACTATGTGTTGTGGTAATGCATGTGTTGTATCACATGTTATCATGGGGGGTAGGGATGGATAGTTGTTTTATCAATCGCAAGGGAAAAGTTGGGGGGAAGGTGCCCAGGCAGGAGGAAATATCATGAGCTCAATTTTTGAAAGATTCAGTTTTAAGAAGTCTTGTGACATCCAGGCAGATATGTCAGTTAGTAGATGAGTGACACGGAAGGACACTGTGGAGGTGAGTTGTGGAGTGGAAAGATATATTTGAGTGTCATCGCAAAGAGATGGTATTGGAAGCCATGTGAGGTTATTAACTGACCAAGAGAGGTGGTGTAGATAGAAAGAAGAAGGGGTCCAAGGACAGAGCATTGGAGAACCCCTACAGAAAAAGGAAGAGGAGGGGAGGAGTTAGATTTGTAGGTGACACTGCGCTTAGCTAGGTAGCAGGAGAACCATGAGAGAGCAGAGTCTTGTAGGCCATGCAAGTGGAGTTTTTTGAGGAGGAGTGGGTTGTCAACAGTGTCAAAAGCAGCAGAAAGGTCTAATAGAGTAAGGAGTAGTGGCCATTGTTTTTAGCAGTTAGTAAATCATTAGTGAGTTTTAGGAGGGCGGTTTCAGTGGAGTGTAGGGGGTCCAGAAGGTTGTTAACGAGGTGGTGGTTCACATGGTTGAAGATAAGGCGTTCTAGTCGTTTGTAGGTGAATGGGAGTAAGGAGATAGGTCTGAGATTATTAAGGTTAGTTGGGACCAGTATGGGTATTTTGGGTATTGGGGTGACCAGCGCATGCTTTAGAGGGGAGGGAAAGATGCCAGTAGAGAATAAGAGATTAAAAATGTGAGTAAGAGAGTGTAGGATAGCGCAAGAAGGTGACCGAAGTAGTGGTGAGGGAACAGGGGGCAAGTGGTGAAGTGGTGAAGCTTTATAACCTCCTCTGTGGTGACAGATTCAAAAGAGGAAACTAACAAGTGTGATGGTGGGTCTGGTACATTAAAAGGGGAAGGCGACTGGATAGTGGCGATCTGATCCCAAATTGTATCTATTTTGTTTTTTAAATGAATGTCCGGGGCAGTGAGTGAGTTAGTGGGTTGTGGCGGTGGGAGACATAGTAGAGACTTAAAGGTAGAAAAGATTGGTTATCACAGGACACAGAGCCGGTCTGATCAGCTATGTGCCTAAAGCCACTGTTCACTACTGTCTAATGACAGCAGGAGCAGCGGCTTCAGCAGCCATGGGAGCATGCACACAGACGTTCACGGGAGGACGTACAGGTACGTTTTAATACAGTGGCCGGTCTGAAAGTGGTTATATAGTGAAATTGCAAGGATTTCTGTGAGGTCTCTAGAATTCCTTGCTTTTGTAAAGTCCTCAATCAGGAATAATTTGTACCCAGGTATGTTATAGCATCTACTGCACCTTTAAACCTTGTTTCTGGCAAATTAACATTAAGTATCTCAGATTTGCCAAATCAGTCCAGTTTTCTTTTAAGATTAGGTAAGGATATTTCTGGCTGTGTCAAAAAAAAACAAAAGGTCATCTGCATATGCTGCAACCTTATGTTTGTGCGTAGATGCTGCTAATCCTGATATGTTAGGGTTTAACCTCACTTGGCATAAAAATGGTTCTATTGTGAGCAGGGGCGTAACTAGAAATCACAGGGCCCCATAGCAAAATTTTGTATGGGGCCCCGTGATTTCTAGTTATACCCCTTGCAGAGCCCACTCGAGATCCCACCTGAGGGTGACCCTGCAGAGCCCACCATAGGCTCTCTATGGTGGGCTCTGCAGGATCACCCTCAGGTGGGCTGGTCGCACTCCTTACCTCCTCCGTCGCCGGGCCCGCCTTCTTCTTCGTCACCGAGGCCGCCTCCTCCCCTGCTGCCGAGCACGGGCCCGCCTCCTCCTCCACTGCCGGTGACGTCAGAGGCTCGCGACGTTGATAGAACACCGGGTCCAGCCTGCTCCCCCGCTGCTGCTGGCTCTCATTGACTGTGGAGACGAACGCGCCGCTGCACAGATGATCTGAACAGCGGCGTGTTCGTCTTCAGACGCCAGTGAAAGCCAGCAGCAGAAGATCCCATAGCGACCCAGGCGGCCCGCACGGCATCTGGCCAGGCCCCACTGTGCCCCGGGCCCCATAGCGACCGCCTGGGTCGCTGTGGTGATTGTTACGCCACTGATTGTGAGTATAAATAATTCATGGCGAGAATGGGCAGCCTTGTCTAGTCGCATTGTAAAGGGGAAAAAATCCGATAATGCTTCATTGGTTCA